AGTAAGTGATTATTTCCCACTAATTTCATATTACACAGAGTGTGAAATATTGTGGCTATATTTGAGCTTTTTGCTTTTTATATTAAACACTTTTTAAATGTATTAAATGTAAAAGGAAGGTATTTGCTCATAGTAACAAATCAAATGTGTTGTCTCTGTGTTTATTGACAAAGATGCTGTTGATAAAACCTACCTTGTTTTCTGTAGCTCACCGGTGCTAACAGCATCCGCTCAATTCTCAAGAACGCACTAAATACATCTGCCAAACGTGAATGAAAACATGCATTTATATTCATTCAAATATTTCACTTACAAACAACGGTCTGTGAAAACTCACCAGCGCAAACAGAATACTAAAGTTCTGCTTTCATAATAAGAGAAGCGATTCTCTACATCCTATCCTGACAGTGATGGGAAGAGAATAGCTGTCTCCTGTGCTCTCAGGCCCATCAAACCTCCACACTACAGACCGAACGCATTACCATGAAGACTGCAGACATCCACTGCAACCTAACAAGGTCTGGGGGCAAGTTATTCCTGGCAGTTTCTCAAAAACGAACCTCATTAAAAGAGACAAAACACACCTGTTCCTCTCGGACAGGGCTGGAATAAAGCCATAAGGAGCCCTGGAAGACAACAGCATCACCTCCACAGCTGTAGAGCTTCATAACTCGCTTTAGCTCTGCTGTTATTATTGGGAGCATCTGAAAGGAGAGCAGGATTCAGGATAACAGGGTTTTACAATAGCCACCGGCCGCAGGAGAGTTTGACTGAGACACGTCATGCTGCTCCTCCACAGTTACCAGCCAAATATGGCAGATCAATCTCTCAATCTCTGACGGGAAGACATGAGCACAGAAATCTGTCACAGAACAAAGGGCATCAATGAAAAGAGTCCGCATCCCACGAAACCTATCAGGAACATTTCATATTAATCATATTTTATCATTATTTCTAGTTATTTTCTACAAAATTGGCAAAAAGATTCCTAACTTTTAATTTTAAATGATTTTTTTATTTAGTTTAATAAACCAATTTTTTAAATAATTAATATTTAAGCTTATTTTAACTTTTATTTTCACTTTAAAAAGTGATATAATCAGTAATTTGTTATATAAGTAAAATATATATTTTTTGGTTTTTTTATATAATAATTTTTTATATAAGTTGTATGAGATTAAACTTTTTTAAAGTCAGTTTAAAGTTGATTATACTTAACAATTTAAGGCAGCAACTGAACTTAAGTTTAAGTTAAAATAGATAAGATAAATATTTTTTTTTACAGAGTTCGACATAAATCCATTGGTAAAAATGAACTTTAGGTTATAAGTAACTGCCAAAAGTTATTTAATGCATAATTTCTGATAAATTCGAATAATTTTGATAAAAAATTATGTAGAGCTCAAACACTTTAAAATATTTGTCAAAATGATTATAAATTACTACATATGCCATTAAAATGTATTTTATTAATTCATCAAAAAGTGTGAGAAACCTTTTGTTTCCAGTTTGACTGAGACACGTCATGCTGCTCCTCCACAGTTACCAGCCAAATCTCTGACGGGAAGACATGAGCACAGAAATCTGTCACAGAACAAAGGGCATCAATGAAAAGAGTCCGCATCCCACGAAACCTATCAGGAACATTTCATATTAATCATATTTTATCATTATTTCTAGTTATTTTCTACAAAATTGGCAAAAAGATTCCTAACTTTTAATTTTAAATGATTTTTTTATTTAGTTTAATAAACCAATTTTTTAAATAATTAATATTTAAGCTTATTTTAACTTTTATTTTCACTTTAAAAAGTGATATAATCAGTAATTTGTTATATAAGTAAAATATATATTTTTTGGTTTTTTTATATAATAATTTTTTATATAAGTTGTATGAGATTAAACTTTTTTAAAGTCAGTTTAAAGTTGATTATACTTAACAATTTAAGGCAGCAACTGAACTTAAGTTTAAGTTAAAATAGATAAGATAAATATTTTTTTTTACAGAGTTCGACATAAATCCATTGGTAAAAATTAACTTTAGGTTATAAGTAACTGCCAAAAGTTATTTAATGCATAATTTCTGATAAATTCGAATAATTTTCATAAAAAATTATGTAGAGCTCAAACACTTTAAAATATTTGTCAAAATGATTATAAATTACTACATATGCCATTAAAATGTATTTTATTAATTCATCAAAAAGTGTGAGAAACCTTTTGTTTCCACTTCTGTCTTAAAATAATTTTATTAAAAATATCAAAGATGTTTATATTTTTGCTAGGAATTTCATTCATTCATTGCGTATTTAAAATAATGCTTGGCAGTTACTTGAAATAAAAATATCCTAAGTAAATCACAATTTTATCTAATTGATTTTTATTGAAAATATTGTCTTATGTCACGGGAAAATATGTCGTCATAGTCATATTTTAAAAATAAATATGTGATGTTTTGCATAATTAAAATGAAGAATAAATTATTTGTAGCTTGATTTTAAATCAAAATGAATAATAATAATAATAAAAAAACAACTTTATCTGAGCATCTTGATCAGACTGACACAGAAACATTGGCTCAACCAATGGTGTGAGTTTGGGGCGGAACTATTTGTTTGTTCAACCAATGGCAGGTGGGAAAGTCTCGGAAATTCTTATTTAAAAAATTCCATTAAACAAATAAGAATTTTAAATTCCAATTATTTGCTAAATTTACTAAAAATTTCTGAAAATTTGTTTCTATGCCAATTTTGTTCAGTTCAATGGCAAATTAGTTTTTATGCCGATTTATGCAAATTTAGGCTTAAATTAAATAAAAAGATCATTGTATTGCATTATTTGTACAGTAATGCAGTAATGAAAATCACTGTAAAAAAGACAGGAATAAAAGAAACAGAAAAGTAAGACAATGTACATATTAAAACAATGAAAATTTGTAGGGAAAATGTGCTTAATGGCCATAAATAATGTCACAATGCAAAACATCTCAATGCTCCTAAAACAGACCGTCATTTTTATACAAAATCTCTTTTTTGGTGTCGTTTTGGGGCTAGCTGTGACCCAGACATGGTTTTTGTGAGATTTGCCCATTTTAGCAAGATTTGCAAATCTTCAAAGCTTTCCAGAATGATTTTTTCCCACATACGCAGTTGAGATAAAACACAAATTTTGGGAGTCTGATTACGCCGCAGCAAATCAAAGCGTGGTGTTTCTGCTGAAACATTTTCAAATGTAAATCGCCCGAACACAAATGTTCCTGTCTGTCACTATCTTCCCACAAAGTGTCCCAAAAATAGCAGATTGCTCCGTTTCTGACACCTGAAATATGCCAGATGCGTTTGAAAAACCAAAGAGCACCTCATCCAAGCTTATGGCAGGGGAGTCCGCCATGTTTGGAGTAAGATCTCATCTGGGCCTGTTCAATGTGAAGCCTGACAGCTCATGCTTTTATGTGGATAAACAATTCCTCAGACACATCCCGGGATGGATGTGAGCCGCTGGCCTTGAATAATGCAAGGGAAAAAGAGTGTGACAGCTTAGAACAACATAGGAAATCTTTGTTGGAGACTTTAGTCTTATTATCTTTCTGAACACACAAAAGACGGTTCATGATTAGCACACGCTACAAAAGAAATGCACGCAACCACACTGGCACTTTCATATATCAGTTTGCCGTTCTTCTAGCAAACATGTTGTGTTTATTAAAGATACATTTTGTTTCGGTTATATAAAAATGTTTAGAAACCGTTAACTAACGAGCATCGTGTGGGTGTTGACAGGTATAAGACACATACAGATGCTCTACAGACTTCAAGAACGATTCACAAGAATCACCTTCATCAAGAGAAAGGTCACGGCACGCAACACACAGCCATTTAGAAACATTAGAGAAATGTTACTTTCAAGAAATGCAGAAACACACCGTGCGACAGTAACACCGTGTCTACACCGGACGCGATCAACTAGACACATCCCTTTAGATCAAGTGAACTGTCTGTGCTGGAGCGATGTGATATGACTTTAGTTCAGCTAGTCTTTATTTTCAGTGTTAACACGATCATGGAAACCTGTAACACTGATTTTCAAGCCTGAAAAAGTTAGGGGTATTTTAAAAACAGAGAAGTAGTAATGGGAAATCATGGAAATTTCAATATTCAATATTCAATATAAATTTCAATTTTAATATACATTAAATTAAATTAGAAATCATGTAAAATTACATGAAAAATTTATTAAATTAAAATGATCAAACATAAAAAATATGAAAAAATACAAATAAAGAAAATCTTGAATGTATTAAAAAATAAAAATGGATTTTTAAATATTTCAAATTGATTATAAGTTCCTGGAAACATCACTGAAAAATATTTGAAAAAAGTATGAAGCCTGTATTTTCCATTTCTGTCTTCAATACAATAATTTTATTAACAATATCAAATATGCTTATATTCTTGCTGTGAAATTCATTCATTCATTCATTCATTCATTCATTCATTCATTCAAGTATTTAAATAAGTTTTGGCAGTTACTTGAAATAAAAAATAAAACCTCTGTAAAATAAAGGCTAAGAAACTAAAAGCAAAATATTAAAGTAAAGTAAAATAAAGTAAAATATTTAATTAAATAAAAACTATGGGGAATATATTTATTTATTAACTGGATTCTTGTTGAAATTAATAGAATTTTACATTCAATTGATTTCTTTAATTTGACTTTTAGCCTAAAACCCCTCAAACCTACACGCGACTGGTCTGTGGTTAGTGAGCATCTTAATTTGATCAACGCTTCCAGTGTAGACAGACTCAGTTTGAAGCGGAGTGACTCGATGTCGATCGCCTCCAGTGTAGACGCGACGAAAGTGCGAAAACAGATTGGAGAGAAAGCTAAAGTGTTTGGCAGTGCAAAAAACTGCAGAATTAAAGCAGTCACTAGTTCAGTATATATATATATATATATATATATATATATATAAGGACAATTATACAAAAAAAGTACTTACATAATTTTCAGTCTACATTACCTTCTTTAAAAGAGCAACATACCGGTTGTGGTCAAAGTATTTACACAGTAAGACAAAAGCATGTGCTTGTACAGTACAGTACAGTACAGTAGGCACTGGAATCCACACACGTTCACTCAGCAGTGGGATCCAGTAGCTGTGTAGTTGGACATCTCTCGGCGTATAGTGCTGAACGGCGACAGCTCCAGTTCTGTCGTGCACTCGTGCTCGTTGTCGTCGCTGCCTGTGGCCGAAGAGTGGACTGCGATCCCACACGCGTCTGCACAACAGCAGCAGCAACACTCCAGAAAGGCACGGCCGAAGGGTCTGCAGAGGCACAGCAGCAGCACCGGCGTAACGGCCGCGCGCAGGAACAGCAGCAGCTGACTGAGCAGATGCAACAGCGCCATGGTGCTCTGCGGGACCCCGGCCGCCATGTAGGCCGAAACCATGTTGCACACATTATCGGGAACCATGCATGCGCCGTATACGATCGCCAGTGCGACCACGGTGCAGTTCATTTGGCTTTCCAAGCGGATTTGCTTCTTGTTGCCTCTGGCGCAGCCGCGTTCAGCACGACGGATGCGCCGGGCGGTCGCCACCGAGCTGCCGATGGTGAAGAGCGTCGGCAGGCAGAAGTAGCAACCGAAGCACCACCAGAGACGCGCACCTTCGTAGGTCAGGCCCAGGACGTACAGCGTGTCGGGGAGGGAAGTGGAGATGCGAATCAGGCAGCGTTCAGACGCCGGGTCGTCTAGCGTGCCGTCGCCGTTTTCAGACACCAGCTGGCGGATCAGGAGCTCGGGGAGGGCGAGGAGTAAGGCGCCGATCCAGATGACGGCCAGCTTGGCGGCGGTGGAGGTGCAGTTCTCGATCATCTCGTAGTACATCTGGACGTTGGTCGCGGCACGGAAACGGTCGATGCAGAGCGCACAGAGGGTGAAGGTGGTCACGCCGAGAGACGCCACCTGGAAAAATAAAAACACAAAACACAATATTTAAAAAAATATATTGTTTAAAAGTTTCACAAAAAACAAACAAGAAAAAAGGTCATAAAAAGGATTGGAAAAATACTGATACTTCACTACCAAGCGGATGCTGAACAAAATTATACAAATAAATTAAAAATATGGAAAAAACTGTAAAGATATGTGAAAACTGATTTTCAGGCCTGGAAAATCTGGCCTGGAAAATTGTAAAAAAAAATCATGAATATAATTTTTTAAGTATAATTTTCTATAATTTTATACAATTTTATATTTCTATTAATGTACTTACATTTTTTTATTTAACTTACATTTTTTAAAATCAAAATTACTGTAAATATATATATATATATATTTGCAATTCATTCATCAAAAGGTGTGGGAAGTCTGTATTTTCCACTTCTGTCTGAAAAAATATATTTTAATAAGAATATCAAATGTGTTCATCAAATTCATTATGTATTTAAATAACTTTAAGTAATTTTGGCAGTTACTTAAAATAAACTATGTGAAGTACATTTTTACTTTTTTTGTTGAAAAAAAATATGAACATAAAAAAAGAATAATTAAATAAAGAAAATAATAAAAACTTTAATAAAATAATTTTTTTATAGATTGTTTATAATCATTTATACATATAAATATTCCAAAATCCAATGAATGCAAAATACTAATATTTTTGTCAAAAATGTAATTCCAAAAAGTTAATTATGAAATAAAATGGCATTTGTTACAATTAATTATATATACATATATATATACATATATATATATATATATATATATATATATATATATATATATATATATATACACACACACATCA